ATAAGAGCGGAGAGATTGGCCAAGGTCAGTTCTTATTGGCTGGTTGTTTCTGGCCAATAGGAGCTGAGGATTGGGCTGGAGGTGAAGGAGAAATCACATGAAACCTCCCCCTCCATACAGAGCAGAAAAATGCAGGGTCTGTGTTAAACGCAGCAGCTGCGTGTGCCTGAGAATCCCAACAGGGTGGTCCATGGCTGGATCCTGTGGCTTGATGGGCCGGATCAAATCCCCAGCCTATTTTTCCCAGTCCTGGTCTAGGGGAAAGCAGAATCAGGTTTCTGTCACTTTTTGGTGCTATTTCCCTCCTCCTATACCCAAATTGAAGATCACCTCAGCCTGCCAGTAGTACTGATTTTGTCCTCAAAAAGACTGTTGAAAATAGCAAGAAAGTAATTTGTTCGTGAGACATAAAATACAGGCAAAAGACCACATTCCCATTAGGCAAGGGGTCGGGTGGCAGAAGGTGTTTCATGGGCTGGGAAGTGTGAGAGGGAAGTGTGTAACTGTGGAGGGAAGTGTTGTGAGAACCAGGGATCCACTCATTCAAAACATTATAGACACAGGAAGTGTCATGGAACAAATAACTGAGGAGGTTATAGAATCTGTCACTGGAGGTTTTTAAGAACAGGTTAGACAAACTCTCAGGAATGGTCTAAATTGAGTCAGCAATTATTTAGGAGCCAAATATGGCTTGCAGCTCGAGCTCAGCTCCCTCTCACTCTTTTCCTCTGTGATCCAGCCTTACACCTCCCACAAGATTGGGAGCCAGCACTTGCTTCTTGTGGGGGGCAGGGCAGTGGAGAAAGCCCCGAGCCTTGCTGTATGATGGGAGAAGAACCTGGCGCCACTAATGGCTCCGCGCACTTGCTCCCCTTCTCCCGCCCCCTGCTGGAAGAACTGACACGTTGCCTGGAGGCTTTTCCCACTGTTCCATTGGCCAGAATCTGGCCAGTGGATCAATGGGAATCCATGCTTTGGACAAGGAGCCTTGGAGCAGCGCAGGATCCAAAAAGCAGCTGCCATTTTGCCCACAAAGGACCCACTACTACCATGACCATATCCCTGCTGCTCTGTGCACTGCTCCATGCATTCACACCCGCTAGAGAGCTTCATGGGGCAGCTGGAGTCTGTCATTGGCCTGAGCACCTCCTGGTACAGGTTGGCTGGATCCTGGCTAGCCTGGAGATGTACAATAAGCATGACTGAGTGGGCTGGTTCTCATGTGTGCCCAGACCCGCTGACTGGACTCCCTATGCTCCTGGCAAGGTGTGGCCTCCACCCCACACTTGGCCCTTGGACTGCTAACTTATTCCATGACCGGTGTGGCTGGCTGCCACATGGGAGTGACTTGCATCTGTTACAATGAATAAACCTTGTTACAGACACTGGGAGGAAAAAAATAAATGCTACCCGGACCCTGCAACCCCCGCTCTCCACCTTTCGCACCAAGACCCTGCACCCACATCCTGCTTCTGCACCCTCCCTATACCAGACACCTACCCCCAACCCACTTCTGCACCCTACCTCCCACCCAGTTCCTGCACCCCCATCCCTATCCCACTCACTGACCACACAGTTCCCCTCATTTTTGGCCCCACCCCAGAGCCTGCAGGGAGGCCCACAAAATCCATGAACCCCGGAACAGCAGAAGAGCTTATCTGGCCAGTAGACTTAAACCTCAGTCATCCCTGGCCCTCCCTCCCATGGAGTTGGAGTGCCAGGGGAGTGAGGTGTCTCATTTGGGGTCCACATCAGTAAGGAATTTTTTGTTGTTGGGGTTTTTGGAGGGGTTGATTTTTTGCTTCTCACTTGTGTGGTCCTGACTGCTTTTTTTTGTGAGTCAGTGGCTCCCCACCCCTAACATGAATAAAGACAATGTTGAAAACTTTTGTGTTGGGCATAATATTTTACTTTATTTAAAAATGAAGCCTGGCCAACAAGCCCCCATCTGGCTGTAGCATCATAACACCTGCACCCCCCCTCAAGTCCCAGCCTTGATCCCATTATACACCTGAACCTTCTGCCCTGAGAATCTCATACCCCCACATCCCCAAACTCATGCACCCCCATATTCCCAGCCCCCTTCCATAACATTCCTACACCCCCCACACCCCAACCCACTGCCCTGAGTCCATCATATACTTTAATCTCCTGCCCTGAGCCCCCCATTTACCCCAACCCAGACTCCTGCACCACCACATCCCAGCCCTGTACCATAAGATTGACAGAGGGCTGCCTGCATGAAGCTGGATTTTACCAGTTATGATGTAAACTTCAAAGAATTGTGCAAAAAGATGCAGCAGTAGAAGTTCCATTAAATAAAGTCTGGGAGTACAATGTTTCATTTATGCTATTGTTAATCATTATGTCACTTATTAATAATATTAAGTTATATATTTTCAGTCGTGAAATTGGCATTCTTATACAGCTCTTCGTTGTCCACTTGTTCTGAATTTGATGGAGTTTGGTTCTTTGGTTTGAAAAGGTTGCGACCCCTGGTCTAGATGATACTTTTGTCCTGCCTCAGTGCAGTGTAATGGATTAAATGGATTCTCAAGGTCCCTTTTAGTCCCACGAGCCTATGGATTCTACTTCTGCACATAGCTTATAACCGCTTCCAAGGGTAAACTGGGTTGAAGTAGGAGGCTACTATTTCCCCACCAACCTTGAGTATGTCCTCTGCTCAAAGCCCTTCTACTTGAGCTTTGTGGACGAGCCGAGAGTTAGTTCTGAATGTATTAAAACCCATTAAATAGATGACAAATATCTTTAACAGAATTTAATTGCATGCATGATAAAATCAGTGCCATGTTTTTTTTTCCTCATACTCAGGGTCGTCCTATGACACTGGACCACTGTCTCCACCATTTCATCTCTTCAGAATCCGTAAAGGATGTAGTATGTGACAATTGCACGAAAGTATGTGCTTTTAATTTATATTTGCTTCCAGCTCAGTTTCTAGATTCAGAGACTGAGTCAGGGTTCCTAGGATCTATTCCTTGCTCTGCTGCTGACTTGCTGAGCCCTCAGTTTCCGAACTTCTGAAGTGAGAATAACACCTCATGAGATGTTATGAATCTTCAATTAGTAGTAGTTTGTAACAGGGATGTTAGATTGCGTGTAGTTGAATAGTTATGTAACTTCATCAGATTTTAGTGGTTACACGACTATTTGATAGTCCCCTGGGGTGGGGCCAGCAGCCAGTGCGCTCCTGGCCCCACTCCCACAGTGCCCCTGCCTCCCTGGGCTGCTGCCTCTCTGTGAGGTGGCAGGTGGGAGCTGGTCTGTGAAGGGACCAGTTTCAAAATCATCTCCCTGCCAGATGGGCTCCCGCCTGCTGCCCCGCACTGATACAGAGGCATCAGTGCAGGGCAGCAGCAGCTCCTGTCCATAGGGCGTCTGAGCTCACTTTGGATAGCGGCTGTGCAGGATCCACAGATCAGCCTTCCCTGCCTCCCCACATATGGGGCTGCCTCTAATAGAGGCAGCAGCACTGGGTGGGAGAAGCGGGGCAGATAGAGCCAGCGTTCAAAGATGAGTTGGCTTTTAAGCTCCAGGCACTGGCTCCTGCCTGCTTCCCTCCTTGTTCCCCCTGCTGCATCTGGGAGGCAGCAAGGGTGCGGGCAGCTCCCCATGCATATCAGCTTCCACCTGCCCTCCTACCTTGTGCTGCTGCCTCTGATAGACAGGCAGCAGTTCAGGGGAGCAGGCAGCTCCATATGAGCCGATACACGAGGGGAGTTGGCTTGAAAGCTGACTTCTTGCATGTACCAGCTCCCACCTGACCTACTCACCCTCCACACTGCGGCAACTCCATCAGCGGCAACAGCTCAAAGGTTGGTGGGGCAGGTAGCTGATACAGAAGCAGCAAGATGGGGGGAGTGCATGTATTCGACATGATTAACCAATAAGACCAGGCTTATTGATTGATTGTGTAGTCATCTATATATTGACATCTCTAGTTTATAATACATATATTGAGGTTGTCGGTGACAACACATATTTCATGTTGAGGTTGTCAGTGATGACATGCTGAGATTTGTTGACATGCTTGTGGATTTTGACTTGTTGGTTGGATCATTACTTCCCTGGCTGCTGTCAGATACTGACAGGTGATATAACAAGATTGCTAAGTATTATTTACTAGAAGACTTACCTGGCGTTGCCCAGGTCCGGGTAGGGGTAGGGCAGTATACTCTGACTGCCATCTTCTCCCTGTATTGGCCTGGAGTGGAGGAACAGGAAGGCCATGATCCCTGACTGCTGGCTTCTTCCTGGTACTCTGGTACTGGCAGGATAAGGGGGGGAAGTGCATACCCTGGCTGCTGGCTTCTCCCCAGGTCAGCCTGGAGTGGAGATAAGAGTGGGGCTGTGCACTCTGGCTACCAGCTTTGCCCTGGGGTCGGCGAGGTGGAGATGTTCAGGCCCTCTATCAGCGCTTCCCCGGCCCAGACCAGGGGAGTGGGAGGATGGCTGGCCACAGCTGCCTGCTGGTTATATCTGAGACTGGCCACAATTCACAATTACATGTGGGCTTCCTGTATGCGTGTGGAGCTGGCTTAAGAACTGGTACTCCACATGCACTGGCTCCTCAACTACAGAGGCAGCAGTATGGGGTGGCAGGCAGGAGTGCACCAGCTTCTGGGGAGCCAACTACCACCCTGCATATAACGATCAGCAGTTACACTGTTAGTTAATTTCAATATTCTTTTCTCCAGTGTTGGTTTGTGTAATCTAATATTATAGATAATTAAATGTCTATAATTGTGTTTTTGATTTCAGATTCAAGCAGAAGGGAAACTGAATGGGCAAATCACAGAAAACCAGAGGACAACATTTGTTAAACAATTAAAGTTAGGGAAGGTGAGGCAACTTGATCTGGCAAATTTATTTTTAAAGCCTCTACTGTAGTGTCTTCTAAAACAATCCAGTGACTTATCTCTTCAGTCTGTTATTTTGATATCCACTTCTTGGCATTGAATTTGGAGACCATTCATATTCTATTTTTCACTTAAATGTGAGAACATTTGGCAGTTTTGTATGCCATAATACCTTGACTCAGCAAAGTTCTTAAGCCTGTGCTTAATGTTAAATACATGAATAATATCACCCTAATTTAACAGTGTGCGTAAATGTGTGTTGCTGAGTTATTGCTTATGTATCCCTTGAGGTTTAGCAATAAAAATACAAGCTCCTGTATTTCATTGGTCAATGAAATGGTAGTAAACAGCTGAAACAACTTAGATTGTTCAGTGTTTGCACAGCACCTAGCACAATTGAGTCCTCGTCTGTGACTAGAGCTCCAAGGCACTACAGTAATACAGATAAATAATAATCCTAATGACTTAATTGAAAGAGACAGTAAAGTCCTGTGCTGCATTTTGTGTGTAAAACCATGTAACTCTTTGACTTTGTTTTCCATTCACTTTGATCAGCTACAAAAACATTGCACATGAACACTTAGCTCTGGTTACGATATAGTGGCACTAGCTGCAAGGGATGCATAACCTCTTTCTCCCAAGGGATTATATTGATCAGAATGTTTGGCCTGTGCAGGACAAACTTAAAAAGATTTCAGATGAGTCTTTTAGCAAAATGCATGAGTTTCCATATGTGGAAAGCCCTGTTAATTTTGTCCATCACCCTACCTAATAAATTATGGTTGTGTTATTGGAAACCTCTCTTTTGACTGTCAGGCTTCATACTTCGTATTATAGATCTGATTTCTAATTGGCTTGTATACAGATATAGCAGCAGATGAGAGAAATCAGGTTAGTAGTCTTCTTCCCCATTCACTCTCTTAAACTTTAATTCTAGTTCCAAGAATATACTTTTAAACCAAACACTCATTTCTACCTACTTTTAATGTGTTTGTTGGATTTTTTTGTATTTCTGTGGAATGTGCTTGAAGCTTCCTCAGTGTCTGTGTATCCATCTGCAAAGGCTAAGTTGGTCAAATCAAGGCATGCCTCTGAAACGTAATGAACACGTGCAGTTCAATGAGTTCCTAATCATGGACATCTACAAATACCACCTCCCTGTCCATAAATCAAGCCAGCCTGATCTAAACCAGAAAGGCAATCCATGGATGTCGTCTGAAACAAAGGACTGGTCAGCAGTTAATGCCTCAGGTATTTGATTTGAAGCTAGAAAACATCAGGTAGTATCAGTATATAAGAAAAATATATTTATTTTGATTTATAGTAAAACCTAGAAATATCCCCTTTTCCAGGAGACTTTGGCCCCTTGACATATATATTTAAAATACAGTTTTTACAAATTTACATTTCACTCCCATTCCAAAATACTTGGAGCATAGGTGAGCTAAGAAGAACTGGGCTGCTTTAGTTGTAAACAATGGGTGAATTCCAAACTGGATAGACCTTCGCAAAGAGCGTCTTGTTAGTAGCCCACTGCTTTTAAACCAGGGGAGCTCCAACTATGGCTGTATTGCAGGGGGAGTACAGACCTTGAGCACTCATGTAATGTGGACACAATATTGTGCCAAAACTAATACAGAAATTGCAGGATAGTTCGTGTTAATTATACAAGGTTTAATCAAAAGAGCCTGACCCTACAAATCTGCATTCATGCTTGGATCCTATAGAGTCCAGGAGAAAGCATTTACAGGATCAGCTGTCAAAAATTGTGTCTTTGAAAATGGTCCTGGATCAGGACCTCATTGTGCAGGGTGCCCATTAAAGTAAGAATTCAACTTTAAATAAGTCTTTATTGGCCAGAACAGGCATTGAGGAGGCATTAGGCATACAGACTGTGCCATGGCTTCATAATGCCACAGCTCTTTGCTTAAAGAAATGAACAAAATCTTCACAAACTTAAGCAAACTGTATCCAGTCTATATGGCTACATTGTACCACGTATTAAACTTAGCTTCCTTGTTGCTGCTGGTCTCAAGTCTTCAAATACTTGAATTGAAAGCTAATTGCTTTTTCAAATAACCCAAATTGAGCAGGGCTCTTGCAGCCACAATATTTCCATATTTCTGTCATTCTGTTATGAGCTGTTAATAGTTTTCTTGTCTATAATGCTCCCCATCCTCATTAGGGGATTGTGAGATTTAATTAATGTTTATAAAGTGCTTTCTGATTCTTTAATAAAAGGTGTTGTAGAGGGCACAAGGTTATTAGTAATATTAGAACAGACTTAACCATTCTAGTGTGACACCCTTGAGGCCTAACTGGTGCTGAACCAGAGAATTTGCCACATCATAGGAGGTCAGAATTGTCTAGCAGAATTACCAACACTTCCACTGCTTACTTGGCTCTTAGAAGACATGGAGGGGTAAATTAGAGACATTTAGGTGTAAATTGGGGCTACAGAACATCACAAAACACTGAGAGCAAGGACTAGTGGCTGTAAACAAACTGAATGAGACCACGGAAAACTTAGCCACATCCACAATAAAGTGGATATCCGGCTAACTAAAGTCATGCCAGACTACGGATGTTGCCAGACCAGAGAGTAGTGGACTAGAAAGATTCAACCTGTAGTTAAATGACTGAATGTATAATTTCTCTGGCAGATCTGGAGCCGACATGTAGCACTAAATCATTCTTTATGAATGGTGCCTGTTCTCCTTCATTATTAACATCCCCGATAACTTTCCCACTTGCAGCAGTTCCAGACTGCAGGTAAGTCAGACTTTTGAAGTCATTTTATAATTTCTACATGTGCATAAAACTGATGTAGGTTATAGTTTCCTTTATTCCATCTTTATTGTGATTTGGTAGTCTCAGAATTTACTATTTATCCCACTTACTATAAGTGTCTTCCTCGAGAGCAGAGGATTGCTGCCCCCTTCTGTTTGAGTAATTTGGCAGTTCCATGTGTCCCCAGCTAGTAAAAGGAGTTGCGTGAATTATAAGTGATGAGTTATAATCATAGAATCCTAGGGCTGGAAGAGACCAAAGGAGTCATTGAGTCCAGCCCCTTGCCCAAAGTAGGATCAGCCCAGCCAGGGCTTTGTCAAGCCAGGACTTAAAAATCTCTAAGGATGGAGTTTCCACCTCACCCGTCCTCCCCCACTCCCAGGGAACCCATCGTAACCCATTCCAGTGCCACCCTCCGAGTGAAATAGTTTTTCCCAATAACCAACCCATACCTCCACCACTGCAACTTGAGACCATTGCTTCTTGTTCTATCATTTCTCACCACTGAAAACAGCCTAGTTCCATCTTCTTTGGAACCCTATTTTGGAGGCTGCTACCAAATCTCCCTTCCCCCTTCTCTTCTGCAGGCTAAATAAGCCCAAATCCCTCAGCCTTTCCTCATAGGTCATGTGCTCCAGCCCCCTAATCATTTTGGTTGCCCTGCACTGGACCCTCTCCAATGCGTCCACATACTTTCTGTATTCTGGGGTGGGGTGCGGGGGCGCAGAACTGGCTGGACGCAGTACTCCACATGTGGCCTCACCATTGCCGAATATAGGCTAATGGCTGCTGCAGGAAAAAAAAATCAGGAGTGCAGCAAACTTCTTACTCCAGAGTCGTCATCTTATAACTGCTGCCTCTTCCCTGATAGCTCCCTTTTCTTTTCGCTTGACTTTTGAGAACAGATAAGTGTGTCTCATTTCTTGCAGACTTTAAAAAAAAATTGTGTCTTTAAGGAGCCTATTTTGCAGAAGAGCTGTGTGCTTGCTGTTCTCTGCGACTTCTGTTAGAGCTGTGGGCACTGTGCTTGTGGTGATGAGGCCTGACACTTGTTTTAGAGAATATTCACTTTTCCATGTCACTGATACATAGTTCTTATAACATATGTCTTATCTGTTATGTATTTTTTTCCCTGGGGTATATACTGACTTATGGTATTCCCTGCTTTTGCTAGCACAGTGTGTCATAACCTGTTCCAGGATGGGGCAGCAATGGCTGCTTTATCGCTCACATTCTCGCTGAGATTCACAGGTTAGAAAAATAGGTGAAGGGAGCAAGTGCTTGAAAGGCTTTCATTATTTTATACTAGAGAATTTATCTGGCATTGCTCTGGTCCTGATGGAGGTGCAGGAGTCACGGCTTGGGACTGGGAAGTCTGGGGCAGGGAGGGAGAGAAAGAGGGAGGGAGGGAGGGAGTTCACCAAGGCTACCCATGCATGGCAAGTGTGGTATTGCTCTGGTGACAGCATCTCCCTTGGGTGCTTGGGGCCATACTGCCTGGTCAGTGGCTCCTCTTTAGGGGCTGGGGCCATGCTTTGGTTGAAGGCCAAGGGAAAGGGTTTGGGGCAGGGGGGCCACTTACCAGTGGCCAACAATATGGAGAACCCTGGCCCCAGTTGGCCACTGGTCACACTGCAGTATAATTGTCCTCTACGCTTGCTGCCTCCAATGGTCATTGTGAAGCATAACTGTCCCTACTCTGAGACCCCTCCCTTTTCGTGTTATAGAAAACAATCCCATTCCAGGCACTTCCCGTTTTCCTGTCACAACCAAACCCTGATCTTTCTTTTAAGTTAGGATGAGAGGAAGCTGCATATCAAATTTGGTCGTCCTAGCTCTTACTGTTTAGGAAGAACTCTTGAACAAACAAACAAACAGATGCACAGACTCTCTAAAATATATATGTTGATGGATTGTGTGGTATAGTTTTATTGGTTTTTTTTTCCTGTTAAGGTCATGTGTCCTGGGATAACTTTTCAGTCCATTAACATTGCTGTAGAATGTAGCTTTCACATGCTAAAGGAAACATGTGGGAGGCCTCACTGCAAAATTCAGAGCCAGTGTGCTGCAAAGTATGCAATGTCCCTCTCTAAAATATATTCCAGAAACTGATTTCATTAATACTCAAAAGCAGCAGTTCTCTTTTCTGATAGAGTGAAGCATTTAGTCAACAAAGCAGTAAAGGCCTGGGATGTGGGGAGGTAGTGTGCTAATATGAGAGTTCATCTCTTACGAAGGGAGTCCATGGAATGAAAAACATGCTTTAAAATGAACTTGCTACTGAAAATCAAGTGACTGGGGGTTTTCCAAGTACAAATTTGATGCACATGTGCTGCTAACTCTTTCTTTTCTCTCATTTGCCCTTCAGTTCCCCAATGTACCTCTACCGTCTGATGGCTGTTGTAGTTCATCATGGGGACATGCATTCGGGACACTTTGTGACATATCGCCGCTCTCCATCTTCTCCCAAGGCCCCACTCTCTGTTAGTAACCAGTGGTTGTGGATTTCAGATGACACTGTGCGCAAAGCCAGTTTGCAAGAAGTGCTTTCATCCAGTGCTTATCTGCTCTTTTATGAACGTGTTCACTCAAGAGTGCAGCACCAAAATCAGGAGTTCAGGGCTGAAGAATGACTTGACCTTTGGAGAAGGATTAAAACCTAAGAAAACTGCTCTTGTGAGATGTATCTAGCACCTCTGTCTTTTATGCAAATAGCCCACTACCTGCCCCTCGATATGCCACTCCTTCCTGGCAATGATGCCTGGCTACTGCAGGGAGCTAATGTCTCATACCAAAATGATGCTGCTAGTGCTGGGCATTTCCAGAGTGTGTATGCATTAGAGAAGAGTGTTTGCTGTTCAGATAGTCTTCGCTCTGCATGACAGAGCTGATACAGGAAATTTAACACAGGGACTTGCCACGGCCACAGTTTTTATTCTGACCTTTATGCATGTTTTACAGAAGGAGCTGCTTAGAGTCACTTTAAGATAGCCCTAGAAGTTATTGGTGAGAGAGTACCACTATCAAAGGCAATGATTTAAAAAAAAATGAAGTGCCTTGAGATTATTTAAATGGTTACATTGCCGCTGTCTACATCTATAGTCTATGGGATACATTCTGGTGAACATCTATATCAAAGTAGTATGAAGCACTGAATCAAATTTTTTGTCATAGCCCCAGCTAAGCAATTAAACGAGTTGCCTCTACTAAACATGTCTGATCTAAAAAACTCTCTATTTGTATATTTCCCCCCAATATTTCATTTCTTTGTTCATCATGGGAGTACTTCTGTCAATACAAATGGTAGTGTTCTGCTTCAGGGAAATACTTAAATAGTTGATCAGTTGGAACTGAGATGCTGCTTTGTTGCTCCATATCCTCATACTCTAAAAGATGTTAAGAGAAAACAGTGTAACCTAGCAATCACTATGGTAATGTATTTTGTCTGTGTGAAACAATCTGATACTGTTGCTTGAGAGCATCATGTCGACTGTGCCTCCCTGTTCTTATCTGGTACTCTAAACTCACCTCTCCGACTTTAATGATGAGTGTTGCCATGTCCTGTCATCCCTTCAAATGAATGCCTTTTGGTCTGCAATGGCACTTGAACTGGTTGTGATTATGAGCCTGGAACTCACGATGGCCTAGAATATACACAGTTGCATGGGGAGTGGTTGGCACCTACTCCAATAAAATAGTAGCTAAACAGGTTGGTGACACTGCATTAGACCTTGCTGTTTTCAAACAGTGATATTAACTGTATATTGTTGCTCTTTGGTGCATAAAAAAGAGATGGGGAAAGAAGTAAGAAATCCTTTGGGGTGTTTTTATAATAATGGGGATAAAGTGCACAGATGTGGCTGTTCTTTTCTATCGATGTACTTCGAGGATGAGGAAGGAAGTCTGAATGTCAGAATGGGTCTTTTCAGTGTAAGCCAGCAACTAAGTGTTCTGACATCTACTGCCTCTCTAAAGTAGCTTTTTTTTCCAAAACATTTTTATAGTAACTGTACATTTTGGATTCATATCATTCAACTGCCCCATGTTGTTCATATACGTTTGGAGCTTTTTGATAGGAATCTGAAAAAACCAGCCACAAGATCATAGGCTATGAATGTATACAACTTTGAGTTGAATTCATTTCAGATTGTGGATCATAATCCCTACTCAAGAATAATACTCATAACCCAGAGAAATTTGTATAAATCTGTTGAAATATCCAGTTTGAAGAATTCTCAGCTTCTATACTAAAGTGCTAGTAGCACTTTTTTTTAACCTTGCTTTTATTACTCTTTAAAAAATGCGATACCAATAAACTTTGTAATCCTTGAAATAAGAGCTAAACTCTGAATGTGACACACAAAAACCAAAAAAGTCTAAGGCTGAAGTTTCTCTATTCTAGATAGATGGAAGTGGGCTCTATGGGCTTTGCAAAGCAGTGCTAGTTGTCAGCAATGGTGGTAAACACAGGCAAAGCAGCTGTCAGACTGAAATCCTGCCAGTTGTACTTTTGACCTTCCAAATGTTTCCATCTGATATTCCTGTAAATCTTGCCATATATAGACTCAAAAGTCTGTTTGAAATATTAACTCCTTTGATTTTGTGGGTACCTCTGCTCACTGTTAGTATTTGAACAAGTCTCTTGATTATGCAGTAATATATAGTGTGTCAGATAATACCCAATAGGAGGACTGTAAGCTTTAGGACTCATCAGCCTCTTGATTGTGTGAAACCCCACACTGTTAACAGTTGGGTGTGTGTATGTATAATGTTTTCTGAAAATTTTGTATAGACTTTGCTCTTCACTAGTGACATTTCTGTGTTCGTTTGGTGAGAGTGAAAGGCTGCGCACTGTCATACATCACTAAGCTACTTGTGTGTCACATTGCCTGGAGGTTTTAGTTTGGAATCTTCAGCAAAAGATAATAGGAATGAGTGTTGCCTAATCTCTTCCTGTCTTTATTGCAATAAAGGAACCGGATTTCTTTTCTTAGCACTTGTGGAGAAGTGTCAATACCGTGGTTGTGACGCTGAGAAATGCTGAGCAACCACAACTTACATTGGCTTCAGAGAATTGCGTGTGGTTGGCAGCCCTTGTAATCAGACCCTGGACAGAGTCGGGCCAGCTGAGCCTCGTGGGCAGATACCTTTTGAAATCATTCAGGCACAGGGGTACACCCAAATGGCTCACCTTCTAGGACTGGGATTCTTGTGTCTGCCAGCCAGTGACAACATTGTAATTGTACAAAGGCTAGAGTTGTTGAAAAGGTTGTTATGAATGGAATAAAAAAATTTTATGAAACATTCACCGTATAGAAAACTGGCCTCTGCTTACTCTGGTGTAACTAAGAACGGTTCTTAAACAGAATTACTCGTTTTAATGCTAGATGTTAATAAAAAGGTATAGTGTTAGTCCAAATCACTGAATTTCTTTCCCACCACTGCTGTCTTTGAACTGCCTTTTCTCTTATGGGCATTTTTTTTACCTGTTCTGTACAATACCAATAAAAACTAATTTATTAGAAAAAGTACCTGGAGGCATGTGATGATGTTGTGAAACACAAGACAAGTGAGAGTAAGAGGGCAACCGTGATGTCTCTTCCTTTTCTAATGCAATGCCCTACAGGGATAGCCAGAGTGAGCTCCAGATTTGTTCTGTTCCATGGATGAACACAAGACAGTGAGAAGGCTGTAGTATTCAAAGCATGAGTTTTTAATTGGTATAACAAATCCTCCATACATGATAAAATATCAACATGTAGGCTAGACCAGCAGAGGTATAGGCAGCCAGTTCTTGGAGTGTTTGTGGGGGCGGACCCCCTTAGTATGAGCTTGGATTCTTTCGGTCTCTTGGGGATATACCTGTAGGCAAAAACTGAGGGCATGTAGAGGCCAACTGGTTCCTTCCTACTGCCTGTGGCAGACACACACAATACTGGTAGCATCCATACACTCTGCACTCTGACCAATGATAGTTAGGTTAATATAATGTATTAGTTACGTGTTTTTGTTACATATCAATGCACTTCCAACAAGTGTATGTGTAGGAGCTATCACTGGTACTAGGTACATAGCCACTGTGGCTGAGACTAAATCCTCAGAATTTAAAACTTGTCCCTTGTGTGAAGCTGCTATTCAGCTCAGTGACTGACATTCTCCACTCTTCTAGCACAAGTGTAGATCCCTGATAAAGGTTCAGTATGCCACTTTTTCTACAACAGAAACCTAGGGAGGGCCTCTTTAGACCCTGAAACTAAAAAAAAACACGTAAACCTCCTCTGCCTCTTTTGACAAGTGCCCTGTGTAGCTCCCAGGCACATACTCCGTCTGAGTACTGGTACCCCTCTGCTACTGGATGTTGTGGAGCAGGCAAGTATTCTTCCACATAGCCAATACCTGAAATGGGCAGGAAGAAGCATTGCACCACAGACAACAACAGGCCAGGGTCACCCACCATGGTACCCAATAAGTAGAGAGACAAAGCCCACTGCAATTTTGAATCCACTCATGTCTGCAACCAAAAAGCAGTTCACAGCCCTGAGCAGGTTGTGGCACCTCAGCACTTAGATGATCTCTAGCTGACAGAGGTGACACCTGAAACTGGTCTGCCTTTTCCCAGCTACAACTCACTACTGATTACTTTGATGCAGGTGTCCTGATTCTGATGCCATATTCCATGGTGCAGATGGCTCACTTGGGTCTGAAGTTCCCAGTACTGAATGATCTTATGGAAAGCACACAGTCATCATTTACATAGTAAGGAAGATGTCTTTCCCATGCATCCCAATCTCACTCTTTTGATCATCACTGGTCTGACAGAAAGACATGGATCTCTGTAATAAGCACAGGCCTCCAGCATCTCAGCAAATATTCATTAGGGTTTCCACTCATGTGGCGTCCAATCCTGTATCATGTAATTTTGATTGTGTCACTAAAAGCTATGTAGTATAGACAAAGCCTTAATACCCCCCCACCCTACCTCCCCAAAAAAGAAAGAAAAAAACCTACCCAAATAGGTACGATCAACGATAGAACTATCATGGGCTTAAAAATAAACCTTCCTCCCAAGCCAAGGAGAATATCAGTGGAAAAATGTACCATCAGGCTTCCCTAGTGCTGTAGTAATATAATCTTGACACCCAAGATCAAATGGGTGCTGTATTTTAGCTACAGCATGTTATTCCATCTGTTTGTTTTCCTAATTTTCTCCTGTGACAAAGCCTGTACCACAGCAAGGTCCCCATCACTTGCTACATAAGCAAAGGAAAAGGCAGTGTTTGAAACTGACTTATGACATGGAAAGACAGTTCTCATTTTTAGACATAAAGGGCACACTTAAAGCTGGACATGCGGTTGTTAAGTAACTTCTTTTTTTGGTACAGCCATCACTTTCCGAAACGTCAGATTGATTCTCGGGGCTACCACCTTCTTGCGGGTGGGTAAGCTGTGATACCAGTATACATTGGTGGGGTAGTTCATCATCAGCAAGCTGCCATTGGCCAGCTGCAGCTTGACTGGCTCAATGTAGCACGAGGCGTTTTTCCCTCGGGAAGCACCATGCCTGAATAAAAAGTCCCTGCAGGCTCCAAAGGACACTGATGCAATGGGACTCCGTGGAACCAATTCTCTCTCATCATCTCTGTGTTCGCCTATATGGTCACAGCCATCTTTATATCTGTGAAGGGGAGGAGGATTTGGTTAGTTTTTCCATTAAATGTAAAAGCCACTGCCAAACCATGGCTTTACTGCAGCATATTTATTTTTTTATACACACACACAAACTGTTTCTGGAAAGCAGTAATTTAGTCACAAACAAGTCTAGCATTATCAGACTTATGGACACTTTAACAGACAGCTGACCCACACTTGCAAGTTGGTTAGCAAGATGGGAAAGGCTGGTACACAGTAAAGCTTGAACTATGAGTTTGTACCTAATTCTCAAATTAGACGTCATGACTCCATACAAGGTTGTGAAGTTGTTATGTGGAGGTCATGACCTGTCAGCCTCCACAAGAGTCACCTTCACCTGCATTTATATATTGTTCAATATTTTAAAATGTTCTGATGTATAGGGTTGAGGGCTTACCTCTTATTAGTGAAAGGGGTCACCAATACAAGTTTGAGAACCAGTTTCACTTTCAATGAACATTTACACAAATAAGGGAAGAGATATTAATGCAAGTACATGATTAGCTCCCCTGAAACTTAAACACAAGGGTTTAAAATTCACACACATTCAACCTTAGTGTAACTGACATCTGTATTCTGTTTCAGGTGTTTATTGAAGAGATGATTGTGACTTTATTATGCTTCTGCAGAACACATGGAAATAAGTGTTTTCCAGACAAACAAGTACTTTGGAGAGTGATTCCTCCCTAACTTTTCCCTCTTCTCCTCAAAAAGAACCCAGTTCAAAAATCAATTCTGTGCTTGGTTGGAAGTCACTGGAATGCTACTCAGCTAAGCTTACTCCTTATCTCAACAGATGTGCAAGGAACACACGACTGGGTCCCAGGAGTTTAGTCATTCAATAATAACAGAACTATCTCCATTTAGATACTACAATAACAGGCACTAAAGAAAGAGCTTAGCTTTTCATATGCTACTCTATTAGTTAACATTAAATTGAAAGTTCCATATCCACAAATTCCTTTTCAAGGGTAAAATGAAGTGGCAAATGCCTGCTTAACGATACCTGATTAGTAAAATGTCCTAGAATCAAACTGTTGTTTGGACAGAGAGATGCTTACTGCTATCAGCTGTCAAAACCTTACCTATTAATCAGAACAAAATTAAAAGTGTGTCCAGTGGCCAGGGTAATGCACTCTCTGATATGGTTGAGAATGGGGATCCATGGCTTAGGAGAAAAGGTAACGCCTGAGTAAGTGTATGTTAAGTCAGGATCTCCGTAGGTCACCTGCTTCCTTGGGATGCTGTGCCATTTGCCAAATACTTGCACTTTGGTAAGATCACCTGTTTGAATAAGAGTTTGCAAAAGTCAAGACCAATGTTCCCTCTTTTTGGACCATTCTGTAGTAGTGTTTTTTTCAAAGTTTAAAAGTCAGGTACAGTTATCAATCATTTCCTCTACAGATCAGAGTACAACATAGTCCCTGCTGTGCAGCTCTGAATATGACTAATAGAAAGTCAATGGAACTAAATGCTGCAGCACATATTAGCTTAAAAAACTGTCAATTTGTAAGTGTTGCTGTCCAAAAATTGGCAAGAAGCTGACAACACTACACGTATGAGACACCCTGGGGAGAGGTGAAAATAGCACAGCACTCTGGGCTCCTCCACATCATTCAAATAACAGAACAAAAAACTTTAATTCTTTCACCTTCCATGTACGGTGCATGTTTCATGCTGTGGCCTTGATCCTGCATGAATGTGAGGAGTCCTGTAGCATTTTAGAGACTAGGAATGAAGATAGCGTGTAACTGAATATTTGTGTAACCGCATCAAATTCTAGCCCTTTCACAACTATTCAGTAGTCCTCAGGGGGCACTGGAAGCCAGTGTGCTCCAGCCCCACTCCTGGGGAGGCCCCTGCCTCCCTGCGCTGCCGTCTCTGTATCAGAGGTGGCAGCATGGCTGCACAGGGTGGGAAGTGGGAGCCAGTCTGTGAGTGGAACTGGTTTAAAAACTGGCTCCCTGTGCAAACCGGCTCCTGCATTGCTGCCTCGATCCATGGGGGGACCCAAGTTCCCTGTGGACAAAGGCTGCACCAGCATATATGGAGCAGCCTTTGTCTATGGTGAGGCTGCTCCGCAGCAGCCTCCACTGCCCCGCCCCCTGCACAGGCAGAGCTGGTGCTCCTCAGGAGCCAGCTGCCTCTGTGTGAGGCAGCAAGGCAAGGGGAGAGGGCAAGTGGCTCTCCGGCCTTCCTTAAAAGCTGGCTTCCTGCATGTACTGGCTCTTGCCCCCGAGCTGCTGCCTCTAATAGAGGGGGAACAAGTGGAGGAAGTGCAATTGGATCTAGTGCTCATGGGGAATCGTCTTAAAAGCTGGTTCCTCATGGTCATTGGCTCCTGTCCCCTCCCACCCTGCTGCCTCTGATATAAAAACAGCAAGGGGGAGTGTGTGTAATAGTGATGTTAAATGGAAATTAATCAACTATTCGATTAGTTGACAAGGCATCTTCACCTTCACCCCCGTCAGCTCTTGCTACACTTCAAAGGCCAGGGAACACCGGGCCCTCAGGGGACTCAAGCTGGCCCCATGCTCCCTGCTTTTGAAATGTACAAGAGCTCCCCATGCTTCTGCCTTTGAAATGTAGCAAGAGTGGGACTCTTGTAGGTTTCCAAAGCAGGGAGCATGGGGTCAGCTTGAGTCCCTCGCTGGCCCCTTGCTCCCCACACACTACATTTCAAAGGCGGAAACACCACCAGTTCCCCACTGAGATTTTTTTTCCCCCACTGGCTTTTAAGCCAGCTCCCTCCAGCACCAGCTCCTGCTCCCCCACCCTTGCTGCCTCTATCAGAGAGAGGCAGCGAGGTGGGAGGGAAGCAACTAGTTGCTTATATCCCTAGTAATCGACAGGACTAACTGATAAACCCAGGCTGATCAGTTAATTGTGTAGTAATCTATATGTTCACATCACTATTAGAGACTAACAGATTTTAGTCTCTAATGTGCCACAGGACTCATTATTCTTAGCAGATACAGACTAATCCAGCTACCCTTCTGAGACTTAAGAATGTGAGTAAGCCCACTGAAGTCATGTGCTTAAAGTTATGCACATGCATATTTGAAGGATCAGAGCCTACCTTTGCTACTTAACTGCTATGGATCTGATGGTACAAACACATCTACCCATTGGGATCTTTACTCCCATTAAAGCCAATGTGAATCCACTTAGGAGTCAGAGTCTGAGTGTGCAGATTGTATACTACATAGCATTGGACCTTACACATACAAAAATCCTCTCCCATCCCCCCCAATCAATGTTGCTCCTAAGTCATAAGGCAGGATGTGTCATGGCATTAGAGAAGAGACATTAGATCTATTAGTCTGTTTACCTTCAAAATATTCCACTTCCTTTTCCAGCTCCTGGAAAATCCTGTCAGCCTCAGCTTTGCGGAACAAGATCCTGTAATCACAGTTCAGACCCTCTGCCCGGATTTGCTTCCATGGAGAATGCACCAAGGCCTCCTCTGCATCTGGCATTTCTGAGCAGGCCTTCTTCTTTTCTCTCCCATCTCTCACACAATCCAGCTCTCCTCCCTTCATGTCTAAGGGGGCTTGTTCATTCTTGCCTGGAAAAGGCCTTTTGACCACAAACTTATCCATTCCTAGCTGCCCTTAAGAAACAGCCATCAGCCTGCAACTCCAGGATCTGATGGGAGTTCACTGCTGATTTTGGACTCCCTAGAACCACAGTGGCTTGGAAGATTTTAAGTGCTCCTAAGTAATAGGGACTTAAAAATACCTGCATGTGAATCCTGAGATGGGTGTCACTGCACCTCTTTAGAGTGGAGCATGCAGTCACTCCAAGGTCATCCTCAGAGTCTGGGCCAAGCTCCTAGAACCAGGCAGATCCTTGCTTAGGACTCCACTGAACCTGGCCTGGCTGTCAGCTTGCTAAGGATCCTCAGGCCCCAGAAACAGCTCCTGCAGGCCTCATTTCCAGCAGCAGTAGCTACTTCCTGCTGCAGACACTCAGCCAATCATTCCACCCTTGCTCAGCTCAGTTTTGCTGTGAATCCTAGCAAGGTCCACTGGCACCACCTACTGGATCTTCTTGGAAGCATTTATAAATTATTAGAAACCATTATCTTCCTGATTCCTCCATAATATTTATATGGCATCATACGTGTACACAGCCCTATTTAACTGGTGAGTGTGCCAGAAAATGTCATTTATTGTGTATGGCACTGAGGACTTCCTACAAAGCCGCCCCTCCTTTAATCTATTAACCAGCCAAAAAATGTTTACTAGTTAACGAATTAAACAGGGTTTTACGTCCCTAGTTCAAACACAGAATAGTAGACTGCCCTGTGCCAAAGACCTTATAATCCAGATAGATCCAGGTAGGGAGAAAACACCAGCATAGTGGATAATGAGATAGTGGCAAATGCAATGGTAGTACCACATTTTTTAAATGTATTTATTTTTGGTGTAAGGATACTTAAAGAAAATCAGTGAAATACAAAGGGAAGGGGGCAGGGCAGAAGAGGGTAAGAGGCATTGTCACTTTCATCTTTCCATACTTATTTCTCTATTTGTAAGTTAGGGATAATAGCAGCTCATGGGTAGTACAGAACACAATGTTTTGTTATTTTTTTAGGTAGTCTCTCAAGTGAGCCTCCTCACTGCTACATCCACTATAAAACTGGTGGGCTGTGTCTATACTGGCGCGATCTTGCACCAGAGCTATGCAAATGAGGCTCAGCGTGGAATATCGCCAAGCCTCATTTGCATAACTAATGAGTCACCATTTTTGCGGAAGAGGCTCTTGCGCAAGACGGAGCTGTCTACACTGCCCCTTCTTGCGCAAGAAAAACCCTCTTGCACGAAGCCGTTATGCTGATTATTTTCAGGCATAACGGCTTTGTGTAAGAGGGTTTTTCTTGCACAACAAGGGGCAGTGTAGACAGCTCCGTTTTGCGCAAGAGCCTCTTCTGCAAAAATGGTGGCTCATTAGTTATGCAAATGAGGCTCAGCGATATTCCACGCTGAGCCTCATTTGCATAGCCCTGGTGCAAGATCGCGCCAGTATAGACACAGCCATACAGTTAGTCAGACGGGGTCAGGATTTACTGTTACGATGTCCTTATAGGTTTCTGATGCCATGGATGATGATAAACCAGAAGGCTGCTTCCGTGTGTGCTCAATGATGTGTGCCATGTAGACTAGTGCACTTAGTCTGCATGGCAGACCCCAAGAGAGCCCCCAAAGACCACAAATCAGATAAGGATTGAAAGTGCCAGGCCAGGTTTATTGTTAAACAAAATAAAGTGATAGTTGTCCGTAGACTTTACCAAACCACTACGCATATGCGATTCGTAACAATGGAATGACTCAATCAATGGAAAATTTCCACTGCCCCCTAGGTCATCCACAGACTGTCCCCCCAAAATACCACTTTATATACAAGTACTAGCAACTTATACATCACTCCTGACGTAACAGGTTGCCACTCTTTGATGCTACTTAGATACCACTCACCATCCTCTACCTCGTGGTTTGATTAGATCTTTATCCATCATGCTGTCACTCTAGAGCTTTTCCTGAACTTGGGTAGGTATCTGTGGGGAGTGTAGGTACCAAGGTCTTTTTAATTAGCTAGTGGTACCACATGCTTTCAACTTTTGACCAGTACCAATTACTGTTTTTCAGTTGATACCTAGCACCAATTACTGGTCTATACGTGGAATCTATTGCCATTTAGCGTTTTGCACTCTCAGTCCTGTTCGTGCCCAAGTTCTGTGAGGAGGGGCCTACCTCCTGCTCACAGCTTAACTTTGTTTTGTTAGCCATGTTTTGTCCATTGTTAGCTAGGTCTCAGGCCTCAAACCAGGACTGTGCTACATAGGCTTTTGTTTTAGGCCTTCATCTTACTACAACTGGTCTCTCTTGTCATTTCTATAATTCTTCATGTATTTTCTCTTTCCTCTATGAGGTTTTCAGCTCCTTCAGTCAGGGTTGACAGAATCAATTACTTAGCATATGTAAAGAGCTCTGAGGAACCTATTACTCAAGAGTTAAGTTATTGCATTTTGCTTGTTAAAGATCCAGTTCTGATCTAACAGAACTCATTTACAGTTGAACTGCATGGAAGCTAGAGATGTCAGTCTAAAAACAAGATTAGGGAAGGTTGGGAATGGACAAAAGCTGAATGTAAGAATAGAAGGAAGAGGTGTGCAAGTTCACTCTGTTTTCTTGAGATGACAAACCACACCAGCACAGCCAAAGCTTTCAATGGGTAGAACTTGCATGCCATGTGGATAGGAGAACTGCCCTACTTGAGTAGGAGCAGATTTGGAATTAAAGCTCACATCCCTTGCTGGTGCCACCGCTTGCTTTGTTCAGGCCCAGCTGTTCCAATGAAAGACTTCCTCAAAGACTTCAGATCAAAAAAGGAAGTGGGTCTGGCCCACGAAAGCTCATCATCTAATAAACCATCTTGTTAGTCTTTGAAGTGCTACATAGTCCTGTATTTTGCTTCAGCTACACCAGACTAACAGGGCTACATTTCTATCACATCTCTTCCAGAATAGTATGAGTCATGTAAGTATGACTATTTCACTTCCCCATTTCTTCCACGCAGACTGGGGAGGGTTTGGTGCTGGGTAGAACTAATTAATCCAATTTGTCATTAAGTTCAATTGTGTGTAGCACTCATATGCCTTAGTCAATTGTTCAGACTATTAATTTAAATTAAGCACCTACATGCTTGAGATTTACTCAAGCAAGAAAGATGACTTAGGATAACACCAAATACCCAGCCTGCAATTATAGTTGACCCAAGAGAATTAACAATTTATTAAGGAGCTGGAAGTAGTTTTTTCCTGCAATACGCTGTTCTTTCTAGTCTTCTCTCTCCAAACTAGTTATGAATTCAGGCCACATTTACAAGATTATTACTGAATTTAACTGTGCTTCAATTAGCCAATAGTGAGGCCTCATAACACCTTACTGCAAATTAAAGGAATAGACTATTATGGTTCTGCCAACAAGCATGACTGTTGAGGACCGCAAGTAGCTGTCTCAGTTCAGTCTGTAGCTGAGACTAGGCTATGTCTACACTACAGCCTATGCTGGCAAAATTTTTGTCACTCAGGGGCATGAATGTTCCACCCCTCCAAGCGACGTAAATTACACTGGCATAAGCACTGATGGGCACAATGCTAGGTCAATGAGGTTGCAGCAGTGGGCTTTTTATGGCAACAGGAGAGCTCTCCCTCATCAGCATAGAGCGTCTTCATCAGATATACAGCAGCTTATAAACTGCATTGATACCACTGTACCACTACAGCACTGCATGTATAGCCATGGCCTAACATTTCCTTCCTCCACAGATGGGTAATCCTCAATACTTACAATTGGAAGTACTGTAAGCATCAAGTATTAAACATCTCTGTTTTTTCTTGTGCATTATGCTGCTATGCAGTCAAGTGCAGACACTTTTACCTTTGCTCTTCATAAGCAGTCAACTCCCACACTATTACCCAATCATTTCGGCTGTATTTTTAAGCTGATCGCTGTCCAGATAATCACTTCTATCTTATTATTTTTAAAGCACCTAACTACTGCAGTACCTAAATTTCAGATACAACTAAGGATCCTTTTATGGAAAAAAAAATGGAGATTCTGCTTCCTGGTTTAGATACTTAATTTAGGATAAGTCATTGTCTTCCTTTTCTATTCATGCCCCCACCACTATCATAGGACTTGCAAAAAAACTGAGTTGTATATCATGCTTTCAACTGACTGCAAACTTAACTTGCTAATCTCTTCAAGCAAAGAGTTCCATGATCTACAGCCTGTTATCCGTTTGCCCTGGTCTCCATCAGTCACAATAGCTCCAGTGCACACAGATGTCACTGGGTTGCAAACAGGAAGGCAGTCTGAGTTTCCATCTAGCCTCCTAACCATATTCTGATTTGGTTCAAGATCTTGGTCTAGATCTCAAACCAAATCAGAACTGAAAGCGTATCTTGGCCAAATAAAGCCTCAAGAAGGCATCAAGATGTCTTATTAGCTGCAATTTGTGTGACTTCTTCCTCAAGCCACAGGTAGAATAAGCTGTGAACATCTGGTATGGAGCTGACCACTGCTCCCGGCCAGCTGCGCCAAGAAGCTGAAACCGGAGGGACATGACTCGAAGGCCTCGCCCCGCTCCCCTCCGCTGAGCCCCGAGCAGTTGGAGCGGATCCGCAGGAACAAGGAGGCGGCTTTGCAGAGACTCGCTTCGCGGAGTGTCCCCGCGGGCTTTGGAGAGGGCTGGAGCCGGCAGCTGGCGGGGGAGTTCACCAAGCCCTACTTCTCCCAGGTGAGAGAGCGCGGCTTCCCCCGCGGGGAGCATCGTCCTGTAATTGCTCGGTGCCTGCCCCTTTCACTCGCCTGCCCTGTCCGTGACCCATCCTGCTTCCCCCTTCTAGCTAATGGCATTTGTTGGCGACGAGCGAAAACGGCACACCATCTACCCACCCCCGCAGCAAGTTTTCACCTGGACGCAGATGTGCGACATCCGAGATGTAAGTTCCCCAGCGGAGACCCCTGCTGGGGGGAGAGATGGGGTTTGCTGTGTTCTGGTGTTTTCAACAAAACCATGAAAGCTGTGTTTGCAGTCTGGCTGGCCAGGTGTTCGACTTTCATGGTTTTCTCTCTGGAAACCCAGTGCTTTAGGATGTGAAATAGTGATAGAAATGTAGCTGTGTTAGGATGTGAACACTGCTTTTTCTCCTGTCGTGTTTTTGTATACTTTTACCTTCTTTTTCTCACCCAGTTCTATGTGTTGATGATCTTCATCCATGATTGCAACATAGCACTCTTGAAAACTTTAGTTGTTTTCTTCTTCTCTTTTCTCTGGCCCTACCCTTTTCTGTGTTGTTTTCTTTCAGGTGCACTTTGGTTCTGATTTAGAAAGTTTTGCTTTTTTAGCAATACATACAAGTCCATATATTTTAAGATATTATGACATTTTGCTGGACTCTCAGCACTAATTAGCATCTGTGTTCAGGTAAAGGTTGTCATCTTGGGACAAGATCCTTATCATGGACCCAGTCAAGCTCATGGACTCTGTTTCAGCGTCCAGAGACCTGTTCCACCTCCACCTAGGTATGACTATGCTTTTAGTTATTTAAAACTCTGCCACTGTTTACTGGATAGGTTATTTATAGGAATACATTATTTGTAAGTGACTGTCTTTGAGATACATGTCTTGTGACACTGAAAAAATAATTTTATAACATGACCAAGTACTTCTACTTATTGGGAAGTGGAAAGGTAATCATAAGAATAACTCATATTGAATTTTTAAAGTGTATACTTTCTGGGAAAGTATTACTATTGAAACAAATAAGTAAATTTGGACTTGGACTTCTAAGATGGTGGTGTATTCCAAGGATTTAAGCTCAGTCCTACAAAATTGGGTTTCCATATTGAGCCAGTTGTAATGTGAGAGCTTTATATAGGAATGGCCATCAGTTTGGTGGAACAAAAGAGCTTTTCTTGTTTTGGTTTCAGAAAGATCTTTATTTTTTTAACTAGATTGGATTAAATTTGCTTATTTTCTTATATTGAATAAAGGCACTAGCCTGTGGCCCTGTTTACTCAGGCCTGCATCCTGCAAATCCTTAAGCAGAAGCTTAACTTCACGTAGATGTGTGGGCCATTTACCTTCAGTAAACATTTGCATAAAAGTTAATAGGTCCAGTTAGAGGTAAAGAAAAGGGCCCTGTTGTACATATTAAATACATCAGATGACTATAACTTTCCTAAAGGGGAGTTGGATGAAGTGCCTAGAATGCTAAATCAGTTTTTTAGTTCATGGCAATAGTTTCTACTGAAATACACAAAATCATTAGTTTGTCTTAATTTGATTAGTTTCACAGAAATATATTTAAAATCTTTTCCTTTATTTTTGTTTGTAGTTTGGAAAATATTTACAAAGAGCTATCTACGGACATAGAAGATTTCACCCATCCCGGTCATGGAGATCTAACTGGGTGGGCCAAGCAAGGTAATTAATCAGTTCAACCTTCCTGGATTCTCATTTAGGCTGTGTCCCTATTAGCACTCACATTGGCAAAGTTTATGGGGAAAAAAAACCCAATCCTGAGCAGCCTAAGGTTTACCAGTATAAGTGCTCAAGAGCACAGCATTATGTCAGTGAGAGATGCTTTCCTGCCGCACTCGTTTTATTGTTTCCATGGGAAAGCTCTGTCCCATCAGCATAACACAGCTAGATAAGCACTCTTATAGTGACACAGCACCGTCAGTACTGCTGTGCCGTTGTAAGCTTTTATAGATGTGGCGTTATTGGGCATTTTCCTTCTCAATGGGTGCATTGTGGCAGCAATGTTAACCTAGCTATTGGTACTTTCCAAACTACTTGGCTGAGATTTATTAAAAGGAACCACTAAAAAGACCCCAGCCGTTTAATTTTCATAAAGCAGTTTAGTATTACTGTGTCAATGCGTATAAAAACTGGCCGTGTGGTTATGCACAGCTTAACGTATGAGGAGAGTCTGAGGGATTTGGGTTTGTTTAGTCTTCAGAAGAGAAGAGTGGGGGGGATTTGATAGCAGCCTTCAACTTCCTGAAGGGAGGTTCCAAAGAGTATGGAGAAAGGCTGTTCATAGTAGTGACAGATGGCAGAACAAGGAGCAATGGTCTCAGGTTTCAGTGGGGGAGGTCTAGGTTGGATATTAGGAAAACCCATTCCAGTACTTTACCACCCACCTAGAAAAATAGTTTACCTAGGGAGGGAGTGGAATCTCCCTCCCTAGAGGTTTTTAATCCCAGTTTGACAAAGCTCTGGCTGGGTTGATTTAGTTGAGATTGGTCCTGCCTGGGGTAGGAGGCTGGACTTGATGACCTCCTGAGGTCTCTTCCAGTTCTATGAACCACTTCAGCCTTGCCTTTATACTTACATAATTGTCTTAATGTTTTCCCAACAAAGCATATGTGCAATGTGCTTGTCTTTGTAACAAAGATAAGAACTTATAACTTTTCTTGGGGTGTATTCTCTGTAATAACTCTTGCCAAACTCTAGTCACCTGATGAAAGCTTTTTGCTAGGTGAGTGAAATAGTATTGTTTGTTAATCACTTTTTAAGTAATGGTAAAGTGTCTGAGAAAATATTATGCTTGGCTGCAGGTGGGAAAATTCTCATGAAAGCTGAGTAAAACTGATAACCATTTTCCAATGAGCATACAGCTTAATTGTAATGAACAATTATGCGATGTCATTACTGAAAATCTCTTGAAGAGTTCAGAGTTGATTTCTGACTTTCATGTATTTGCCTGGGAAGGTTATAGAATTTCAATCATTGGAGACTTTTAAGAGCAGGTTAGACAAACATCTGTCAGGGATGTCTACGTAATACTCAGTCCTGCCATAAGTGTAGAAGATTGTACTAAATTATCTCTTGCAGCCGCTTTCAGACTTGTAATTATAATGTTAATGATACTGCCTCTGCATTATAATGCTAGATCTGTTTATGTGGACATACTGATACTTTAAAGAAAAACTCCATTAAAGCCTATTAGAAACTCACAGAAACTATGTTTAGCTCTTAAATGGGTCTGTTTCTTAGATGGGATTCTTAATTAACTTATTTTCTCTCTGCTTTTGCCAATAGATTGATGTTGCTCATCTATAGTTCACCATGAACAAAGTATTAGATGATTTTTTTAAAGTTACTGCAAATCCAAAGAGAGACAGGGAGAGAACTTATTACTTTGCAGATTAATTCATGTTTTCTTCAACGTCCACACTGAAGTATACATGTTTTATTTTGTGATTAGGAGTGCTTTTGCTCAATGCTGTCCTCACAGTTCGCGCACACCAGCCTAATTCTCACAAAGAAAAAGGCTGGGAACAATTCACTGATGCAGTGGTCTCCTGGCTAAACGATAATTTGGATGGACTTGTCTTCATGTTGTGGGGAGCTTATGCACAGAAGAAAGGCAGCTCTATTGACAGGGTATGATATAAATCTTTCCATTTTTCTTGAAGTCTCATTGCTTCTTGCTTTACTTGAGACATTTTGGTAGGATGTCACCTACACGGGGCTTTTGTTTGTAAATGGAAAAACTGGCTTAAATTAAATTAAAATACCAAGCAGATGGTTAAAGGTCTCAAGGCGGGCTGTGCCTGTCAACTTTTGTCAACACTTTGTTCCAAGAGTGCTTAGCTTCAAGGTACAAGAATAATCAATATGAATAAAATTAGGATAGTGTTGTGTGAAGAGTCTCAACGTTATGATGAGTAGTTGATCTTGGAACAATTTACGCACTCTTATCACTTTTTGAAAAATGCAGCCATTTTTTGAATGTTGAAGGCTTGAGTTTCATGGCAATCCGTGTGCTTTTGTTTATAATGTGAACACTTAAGAGAGATATGTGACTTCATTTCTGCATTTGGTGGTAGTACAGATATGCAAATGACATCTAGGATCTGAAAATTTACAGAGTTTCTCACTTTTTGTTATCTCCAACTTCTTACAGAAACGTCACCATGTTCTACAGACTGTCCATCCCTCACCTCTCTCTGTGCACAGAGGGTTCTTTGGTTGTCAGCATTTCTCTAAAACCAACGAATTTCTGAAGAAATGTGGCAAAAAGCCCATTGACTGGAAAGCACTCTGAGCTATAAACATTAACTTGGGAGTATGATTTGAAGCAACCTCTATCAAGGATCATCCAATTCCTGAAAAATTGAGCGGGCATATATAGACTTGATCTATCTGAAAAACAAAATATCCTACTTTGTCAAAGTGATACCTTTTAAATGTCTGGTTTTTTTACATACTGTATATGTTTAACGGAAAAACTACAGTTTGATACAAAGAATAATGTAACTTCTAGGTTGTCAAATTTTGTAAAGCTAAAATCTGTGCTTAGTCTCATCAAAAACCGTGTCTGTCTTTGCTCTAATGGGAATATATGGAGAATTGTCGTATGGAGCTAAGCTCATAGAAAATCAGTTCTAAGCACCTTTTTATGGTTAGTGAAACACATCTTATTTGCTGTTTTTTTTCCCCCCCTTGTACTTCTCAGGTGTAAATCTAGTTTTTCCGTTTTGGAAAAACGGAAGCACCTTTATACTCCTACAGCAAAAAAGCTAGTTATTGTTTGTTCTGTTAAAAATCTGTTTAACCCAGTTTAATTTTCCAGATGTCGATGTGTTTCTGCTTTAAAGTTAGTTGTATCTGTTTTGGGATATTACTGAACCTGCCTTTAAACTCTCTGAGGATTTCAGCGCTAGTATCCCAGACAGTTGGGGGAAGTTGTGACCTATATTAGTGATGTTTGTGTCTTACATTCAGAGTACTTTATTATGAGTTTAATACTATGAGTTCCATTGGGCATAACTCCTTCTAACTACGACAACAGCTTGACTTTCAGAAGAATTCTCTCGCTATTTAGTATGTGACTTATGTACCTGCTGATGACAGCTGAACTTTGAGATGTTCCTTCAGGATAGTATTAGGACTTTTCTTGTCAGTCAGCATGTTTGAGTGTACAACAAAATCAGGACATCTTGACTACAGAATTGGTTCTATGCATTTAATAGTATAAATTAACATAATTGTCTTCATTTTACTATTTTGAACCTCCTCCCCTCCAATGTGTATTTTTCTGCCACCAGTTATTGCAGTTTTACTTTGATTCAGAGTGGTTTGAAGTTGGAATACTAGCACCTCTAAAATTATAGCCTCTGAAGAGTTCCTTCTTTAGCATGTTGCAAAGGGGAACAATCTTGTTTATAGTCACCATTTATGTGGTTACATTGTGCATACCTATATTTCATGCCATATTGATCCAGCAATATTTGATCAAATAAAACTCCCATTGAAAACTACAGTTTTGCCTGAGTAAGATCTACAGGGGTTGGATCAACTACTTCAAATAAAAAGGAATGGCAATAATCTACTCTATTTTTTTTTAAACAATTTTCAGTATGTTGCAAAGTACATTATGGAAGTGATAGTGAACCAAATGTTAATGGAGAAAAGGATCTGTTTGCCACTGATGTCTGGCTCCAATACAAATAGAGAAAAGTTGGTGTCCAAAACTCTCCCTGTTGTCAATAGGGAGCAAGGTGGAGTTTGAAAAATCTAGAATTTCAAATCTAGCTCTGAATTGATACTTTTCTGTCAACTTTCATTGATTAGAGGAAAAATGTAGTTCATCTCTTTTTGTGAAATAGCATCCTTAGTTTGTACTATACTTGTACATTTTACACTAGTACCTATGTAAGGAGAAGCCATTTTTGTGTTCCAGTGGGTAACACTAGTACAAAAGAAACAGTTATATTTGTTTTCTGTATATGTTGTTTTTAAATAAAAATTCTACTTTCTTTATGCTGTTGTCCTGGAATAATTTACTCGGCTAGCACGTTGGGTTTCTCTTATCAAAATGTTTCCTCTTACAAGAATGCTGAAGACTATTTTCACAAATACATAAATAAAATTTGAATTTGAACTCTTATTCCTAATTCTTGAATCCTGCTTTCTGTCTTCATATATTTATTCATCTCTTCAAACCATTTTTTGGTCCTTGAAATTCTATATTCAAATTAAAATAAAACTCGGGGTCACGTCCAAATCTTCTTTCTGTTGTAACAGTCCAATTGAGCTTCACAGCTGAGAATATTTTCTCTGCTAGCCTATGGTAAATTACACACATGCACACACTCACTCACTTTGCCCCTATTGGCAACCTTCTAACCATAGCAGCTGAAGCATAATTCTCACTTGTTTCCTTCTGTGGGTTTTAAATTTGCAAGTTTGTGGGTTTTACATTTGCAAGTTTTCTACCTTCCACCAAACGGGTCATTTATGGTAGACTTTAGTAATTAGCTTCAGGGGGTAGCTGAGTTAGTTTGTACTTTAAAGACTAACAAAACACGTAGATGGTATCATGAGCTTTTGTGGGTACAGCCCACTTCTTCAGACAACCAGAGTGTTGGATGTCCAAGGGGAAGGAAACACAAAGAGGTAGTGGGTATAAAAGTATCAAGGGGAAAGCTAGCTGGAATGTAACAGGAAAAAGAAATAGTCTATAAGCACTAAAGATAAGAACCATTTGTGGGCAATTAGAAAAGAAGAGTACTAACACCAGATTCTATACAGACAAAGAATCATTGGCGGCACCATTGTTTGGTAGATTGATAATGTCCCAGCCATATGGTATCTTTATTTAATCCATTAGCAGATTAACAAATAAATTAATCCCTCCCTTCTCCCCTATTTATTTTAGTTCTGGACATCCAGCACACCTGTCATCTGAAGAAGTGGGCTGTGCCCACAAACGCTCATGGTACCATCTACATGTTTTGTTAGTCTACAAAGTGCTACCAGACTCTTTATTATTTAAGTTTATTCAGTAATTAGGAGATTCTCCTAGTTCCCTTATTCAGCACTCCTGGGGCAACATTCCCCACTGCTGCTCCTGGAGAATACTGCGTAAAACAGACCAGTCTTGACTTTCTGGTGCTAGGGGGGATGTTTGCGGCATTTGGGACTATTTCCAGAGTCCTCCGTCTACAAAGTGCTACCAGACTCTTTATTATTTAAGTTTATTCAGTAATTAGGAGATTCTCCTAGTTCCCTTATTCAGCACTCCTGGGGCAACATTCCCCACTGCTGCTCCTGGAGAATACTGCGTAAAACAGACCAGTCTTGACTTTCTGGTGCTAGGGGGGATGTTTGCGGCATTTGGGACTATTTCCAGAGTCCTCCACGCTCCTTGGGGCTGGAGCGCCCAGCGATGCCGCGCCGCGAGCAGGGCGCCGAGGCGATCCCGTGCCCCGCGGGGAGTTTGCGTGGCCTGCTGGGCCGGGGACTCGCGTG